ATATTCAGTTATGTTATTTCAATAATTATGCCAAAAGGGCATCAAATTTTGAACAGTGCTTGTAAGAACTATGTACAAATTATTATAAATTATATTATTATATTATTATAAATATTATTATAAATTACAAGAATTTAGCAATTATTTAGAAGTTATTTTATATTTTATTCTGAGAAAAAGAAAAGATCTATGATCGCGGTATGAGCAAGATTGAAGGAATAAAGGTATCTTTTTAAAAAATTTTAAATAATTAAAAGAAACAATGGAATGTTTTGTCTATAGCAATTATAAGTCTTCATAAATCAAATTAACTTTAAATTATAAATAATTACATAATGAAAAATAATGTCAATTAGTAATAAAAGTTAAACCAACATAAATAAAATCTCGAAAGAAATGAAGATATGCGAAAAAAAATCGAACAAGAGATAAATCCAAAGTCAAAGAATATTGTAAAATTTCTTTATAATAAATTAAATATTAAAACTATAAAATATACCAAAGAGTCAAAAGTTATAATAAGACTATTATAACTAATTTTTCATTCGATATCGAAAAAATGTTAAATTTAAGTACTAAATTTTGATCCAGTTAAGTTGTCAAAAATGTCGTAAAAGTAAGTAATGATATTTGTATTGTATTTGAATATGTATTTGATTTAATCGTAAAGAAAGTGGGTCTATAATTGTATACAAATAATAAATTATATCAATAAAAATATGGAAATAGAAAGATTAATTAAAAATTTTTAAACTTGTCGAAATAAGATTGATACTATAGAATAAAGCAAAAATATAGATCTGGCAATTTGTATTTGTTAGTATATCTTACGTCTTATAAAGGTACGTCTTATAAATTAGCGGACCAAAGTGAGCAGAACCAATTCTAACATTTTTATTTGTTGTTTAATTGTTGTTAAAAAGTTACTAAAAAAAAATGTGTTGCTCTGTAATTTTTTTTCAATGTTTCGCTAAAGAAATATTAAGTTAGTGAGACAATATATATGTAATAATAAATATGAGAAATATTGTAATAAAGAAAGCAGAAGAATTTGTTGTTTATTTATTATTCTCAAAATATTCATGATATTGACATTCTCAAAATATTCATGATATTGACATTCTCAAACTTCTTTCTCGCGAAATAAGTATAAACAATAGAGAGAAATCACTCAGCGTGCAAGCACAAGAGTAAATTATCAGAAAAAAATGTGTTGCTTAATTTTGGCACTGAAACGTTGAATGAATTTGTTGCTCTCGAGATATTTATGTTCCAAACTTCTTTCTCGCGAAATAAGTATAAAAGATAGGAACCATTCCAGCATACAGTCAGAAGAGTGAACTGTCAGAAAGAATGTGTTGCTCACTTAATTTAAAATTTCTTGCTTACGAAATAAATGTAGAAAATATACAGCGAAAAATTTTAACATACGGGAAGTTAGAAGAATTCAATCGTTTATCTTCATTGGTTCTTCTCTATTTTTATACTTATTTCGTGAGAAAGAAGTTCGGAACATTAATATCTCAAGAACAACAAATAAGTAACAAATTCTTCTGCTATTTTATTTTTATTACAATATTTCTAATACTTATTATTACATGTACATTGTCCCGCTAACTTAATCTTCCTTTTTTTTTAGCAGAATATCATTTTTTTTAAATTATAGCGCAACCAATTTTTTGGCAACTTTTTAGCAACAATTAAGCAACAAATAAAAATATTAGAATTGGTTTTGCTCACTTTGATCCTAACTTATAAGATGTTCATATCTTGTATTCGAATAAGAGAAAAATATTTTCTAAGACAATAAGTAAACAAATCACAATGTGTCACATGTCAGTAAAAAATATATATATTAAAATGAGTCATAAAATAATTTAATGTTTTTATTTAAATTGATTCCATTTTTTTTTGTTTAAGGATTTTCATATATTTTCGATCAAAAGTATGATATAGATTTAAAATATGATTTGAGATGACCGAATTTTCAACAATCTTAACTTTATGTTATTCATATTCTGTTCTTTAAATTTTCTTTTTGAATTATTTTGTCTATTATTAAGATTATTTTTTTAGTTTATATTGATTTCTTTGAATATTAAGATTCAACTCTCTCGCAGCACAATATGGATTATGTAACGTCAGAGGCGAGAAATAACAAATACAAAAAATTTCTTCGTCATATAATTTTATTTTGTACTTTTTTCATAAAAACGTGATGTTTTTATATTCTTAAAACTTATAAAAAATACCAAAAAGTAAATATTCCAATAAATCACGTAAAAGTGTAAAATAATTCTTGAAATAATGATCACTATTCTATCTATAACTATCTGTAATTATCAGAAACAACTAGTGATTTGGTTTCTAATAGCTGAGCAGTGTATCATTATTATTGTATTATTATTTAAGAATTATTTTATATTTTTACGTGATCTATTAGACAGATATTTTACTTTCTAATATTTTTTATAAGTTTTAAGAATATGAAAATATCATGTTTTTAAGATAAAAATACACAATAAACATACTAACTATGTGACTCAAGAAACTTTTTGCATCATTTCTCGCTTCTGGGGATCGATCATGTAACTTTTCTCCTAAGGCGGAAACGTGAAAAAGTGAAAAGTTTCACATGAACTTACGATCATGTACGATTTTGCAAGATCATGTAACTCTCTCAAACATGAAAAATGTGAAATTTTTCACGTGAACTTTTTCGCCATGTACCTTGGTGGCGGAAAGGTAGAAATCTAGGGAATTAATAAATATGCTTCGAAATTAGAGAAGATTAGGACTACGTTAGGATTACGTGTACATAGTACACTTATACAATTGGTTATTAAAAGATGTATATAATATTGTACCAATAAAATAATTTTCATTAACTATAAAATCTATGAAACTATGTTTCATGATTTCCACGCATCCAAGCTACATACATAATCACTGTACATGACAAATTTTACGTAAAATGTCAAGGTGTGAAAAATGAAAAGTAAAAAGTGAAAAATGAAAAGTGAAAAATTTCACGTAAAGTTACATGATTGACCTCTTGATGTTATAATTCAATATGGTTGCAGCAAGAAAGTCTTAAAAGGATATGCTACAAGTTTAAAAAAACTGCTATTTTTACCATTTTTTTCTAAATAATTAAAAGCCTTAGAAAAAATACGAATTAATCTTATTTCTGTAAGTTTAAAAAAAATCTTTTTGTCTAATCCTTTTTATTTTCATATTTTTATTATAATTTATTTTTTGTTTTACTTCTAATTATAGAGCCGGTTTTCTTTAGAATTAAATTGAATATACTTAAATCGCAGTTATTTTTACATGTTATTTTTACGTTATTGATAATTTAATTGAACCATATTTTACTACTTTGAACATTAACATTCTTAACATTTTTTCATCATTGAGATAAAGAATTAATTATAATAGCTTATTTTAATCTTTTATTATTTTATGATAAATAATTAATTGTAAAGAAGTTGTAATATTTCTTAATATTAGATTTGCTTATTGATTGATTTTTTTTTTTCATATATCTTCATTTTTTTTCAAGATTGTTATTTGTATTTGTATTTAACTTTTATTATTAATTGAGATCGTTTTTCATGTATTATGTAATTATTTATTACTTATTATTTGCAGCTAATTGGGTAATTTGATAAAGACTTATAATCGAAATGTTCCACTGTTTTTTTTATTTAAATTTAAATTATTTACAACTTTTGAAATCATTCATTTATCACAATTGTTAATTTTTTCTTTTTACTTGCATTTTATCCTATTTCTTAATTTATTCTAATATATTGTAACATAAAAAATGAAATACTTCGTAAAATATTTGTCTATCGAATATTTTATTTTAATATACGATGTTTTTAATGCTTTACGATATGAATATAAATGAATATAAATCGATCGAGGTAAAGAAAGTACATAATTGCTTAAAAAAATATGTAATTTTATATTGTAAGTGCTTATTATGTGTTTATATACAAAACTCATTTTAATGAAGAAAAATAATTATATTTTCTAAACTTGATATTGATAAAAAATAATTTCAAATAAAATTTTAATGTTTTAAAAAATTTATGATAATGCTATTAGTTTTACATTGGACTGTTTATAGTTTGCATGATGATTACCATGAGTACCATTTTTTAATGGAATTATGATTCATTTTAAATAATTATTTTGGTTATTCTAAAAATATTAAGGTAAAATGATCAGATAATTAATAGTTTACGTAGTATTTAACAGTTTATTCTGGCATTTTTTATATAAAATATAAAATATCTTCTAAATTATATATCATAGTGTCCTAGATTGATTATATCATCTGTTAATGGCAAAACAAATAAGATTATTGTAAGACAAAAATCTTTATACTAAAATTTTGAGGTTATAATTTCTAAATAAAAAATATTTAAAGTTAATCAATTATATTATTCAACATTTATGCGTTAACATATTGTACAGTGAAAATATTTATATTGATGTCAATTTGCTTTCAAATTAACACTATAGTTATAAATCTACCACTTTTTAACTTTCATTTATCTACACTCGCTAATAGTATTAGCAGTAAAAAAATATTATTTTGCAGAAGATTTTAGAAGATGTTTATTGTTGTATGAATTATATTAAAAGCAAATTATCCGTCGAATAACATCCGTACTTAAACGTGCAAATTTTGTATAATCTGATTGATTAACTTTAAATGCTTTCTATTTAAAATTATTAGGAAAATATCTATGATCAGATACGGTTAATCTCAGTTATTTAATCAATAGTTGTATTTAATAAATTAGAAATTATGATCAATCAGTACTCCAATAATATCTATATTTTCTTTCTTCTCTATAAAGTTATGATACCTTAATTATATACTAATATAATTAATAATTATATTAATCATCATTTTATCACACTTAACAGAATTAATCTTTTATTATAATAATAGCATTAACTATTTAATTTTTATTTTGCAGATAGTTCAGAATTTTTTACACCTCCATCTTCACCAGAACTTATTCGAGATAATTTTGATGATGATATGCAGAATGCTGAAGAAGGTCCTCCAATGTTTATCGAAGAGTAAATAAATTTCTTTTATATTATTCTTTTATTATACAAAGATTATATGTAATATTCATTTAACACTTTATATGATTATTAATATTTTTTAGTATCTTTTCCAACAAAATTAGATTATGCTGTTTATAATGCGCTTTCATCTGTAATTTGTTCCGAAACATATCCTTACATTTATCGTTGGCGACACGATATGCGGTTAGCTATGAACCGTGATCCATACAGGTATTGTTATACTGTGTCTTCAGTTCATTTATTTTTTGAATTATATTTCATCTCATGTTAGTAATATAAACATCTCAACTTTATGTTAATACATATCTTTTTTTCTAATTTACAGATTTAATAACAAAAATTCTCTCAGAAGAAAATTATTTACAAATAAATAAATAACAAATTATTATAAGTTATGTATATAAGAACCAAATATATATTAACATTTGAACTTTAATATTGATAACTATGGGCAAACTTTGGATTAACACTTGAGCTGTTTTTTTTTTTATAGATTATAATCTTATAACATAAAGAAAAATTAACTCATCTGAATTTTAACTGAAATTTAAAATTGATGTATAGCTGGTTCAAAAGTTAACTATGTTAATGTCGCATAAAATGTATGAACTTTTGTTACATAATATTGTTAGATAGATCCTAAGTATATTTGAAATAAGATAATATATTTTGTGATATTTTTACAAGATTTGTGACTAGAAATGTTCATGCTCAAACAATTCAAATTATTAGTGTGCATAGCTTTTTTATTATTTACCATTTATAATTACAATAAATATTCATTACTGGAAATTACACTTGCTGATTTTCGCAAATTTCGTCTCCATCGTATTTTACAGCATATATTAGAAGCAAAATGTATATATTAGAGAGTAAATATAATTATATTATTATATTACTCACATGTTTTTTGTAATGCATTTATTATCAATATAACTTTTATTATATATAATGTTACTTTTTATTTAACAGAAAATTTGTGAATTTTCTTTTGTTAATATCATCGTGATTACGTGCATTATTTTGTTTCATCTGGAATTTCTTTCATTTATTATTATCATAATTCATATGCTCTCAGTGCCCAGTTCCACTCAAAGATAATTTTAATTTAATCAAGCGTTAATGGGAGTAGGCGGTGTCTGCTTCAATTGCAAAATAATTGAACGCATTCGGGAAACATCCTTGGAAGTGCGAGACGATTTTGGGTTAAATTCGCAAAGTTTGGCGATGCGTTCCCACTCGGTACCTGGTTCGACCTCATCTGCTTCTGCGACAAATTGCTTCTCTGCATTCCTATTCATGAAAAAATGCGCATTATGTATGTATGTACGTATGTATGTACGTAAGTATGTGTGCGCGCACGCGTGCGTGCGTGTTTTTAAATTATTATGTGGTGTACAAATATCAATGTAATGTGCAGCTATTAAATTTAATGCCAAGTCAATTATATTTTTATAACATTCATATTATACATAAGCGAGTAATTTATTAACTTTATTAATATATGTTTTTCAGTTTATATAAAATTTTTAATATGATATAAATAGAAATAGTAACACAATATTTATTACAGAAATAGTAATTAATTATCAATAACTTTCAATTATATTAATAAGTGTATTTAGATATAAGAATATATATTGCTTGTATATATTAAGAAAAGCTAATTTTGAGAATATTTTCATCAAACAATGTCGAATAATGCAGTGTCATAGCAATTTAAAAAATAATAACTGCAATAATTGAAAGAAAATACAAGAAAGAGAAAAAAAACGAAATAGAATGAAAAAAAAGAATGAATAGCAAACTGCTTTTATATTCTTAATTCACATTCTAAGCAAACTTAGTTTCAGAATTTTTAAAGCAAACTATGATGCATACTATATTATGATGCATACTTTCATGCAGAAAAAAATATTTTAACTTACTTGGCTGATTCCCTAAGAAGTAAAATGGAAACAACACAATTATATA